TTGTACTAAATTTTCAGAAATAGATAGCACATTGAAAGGGCAAAGGAGTAGAATCGAATCAATGGAAGACAGAATTAATGAGATTGAAGACAAATAACTGAATACTTCTTTGGAAAGGGATCAATCAGAAAAAAGATCAAAACAAAATGAAGAAAGCCTAAGGTTCACATGGGATACCATCAAAAGGAATAACCTATGTGTCATTGGAATTCCAGAATAGGAAGAGAAAAATAAAACCACAGAGAAAATTGTCGAAGATTTGTTGGAGGAGAGCTTCCCTGATATGATGAAAGATGAGAATATATCCATTCAGGAAGTCCAACAAACCCCAAACAGCATAGACCCCAAAAGAAAATCACAAAGATGTATCATCATCAAACTCATCAAAACCAAAGACAAAGAAAGAATCCTGAAAGAAGCACAGGAAAACACAAAAAGTTACTTACAAAGGTCAACCAGTAAGAATAAGCTCTGATTTCTCAGCAGAAACCATCCAAGTGAGAAGGCAATGGGATGGTATATATCAACCTTGAAAGAAAAAAATTCTTAACCAAGAATTATATACCCAGCAAAACTGTCCCTCAAATGTGATGGTGAAATTAGGATATTTCCAGATAAGCAGAAACTAAGGGAATTTGTTAAAACCAGACCAACCTTACAAGAGATACTAAAGAGAGTCCTTTGAACAAAGAACCAAAATTAGCAAACAATAACTGACCATTAATACACCAGATGACATAATCCAGAAACCACAGCTATGGACATATCCAAAGTAAACTAAGCTTACAAAATTGTAAACAGGGAACCAGAGACATCAATTGGCAAGTGAGGACAACCAGAAACCAAAAAGAGGGAGAATACAGTGTAGTTACAGAACTTCTAAATGGTGAGGAAGTCAAGAGAGGTGCAAGATAGAATAGACTGTTCTAATATTGAGGAGAAAATTATAAATCACAGGGTAACCTCAAAGAAAAATGATAAACCTTCACATCACAATAAAAAAAGAAGACCAGCACAAATATTCAGCAAATACTAAAACAACACAATAAAGGAAATGACAACATGATTCATAAACATAATGAGCTCAGCACAGAAAATTATGTGGAATAACAAAACCAGGAACACCATGAAAAAACACGTAACAGAATGACAGCAACCAATTCATACTTGTCAATAATTACACTGAATGTCAATGGATTAAATGCAACACTCAAGACACAGAGAGTTGCAGACTCGATAAGAAAACATAACCCATCAATATACTGTCTACAAGAGGCACACCTTAGAGACAAAGACAAAAACAGACTAAAAATCAAAGATTGGGAAAAGATCTGTCAAGCAAATCACAACCAAGAAAGAGCAGGAGTTGCAATATTAATTTCTGATCAAATTGACTTTAAGACAAAAACCATCATATGAGACAAGGAAGGACATTATATAATGATTAAAGGATCAATTGAACAAGAAGATACAACCATAATAAATATCTATGGACTCAATGAAAGAGCCCCAAAATACATAAATCAGACTTTAACAGAATTGAAAAGGCAAATAGATGACTCCAAGGATGTCATGCTTGGTAGGGTGGAGAGTTGATGAAAGAGGGGGAGGCCTTCAATGAGATGGATTGACATGGTGGCTGCGATGATGGTCTCAAGCATAGCAGGATACAAGATCAACATCCAAAAATCAGTTGGATTCTTTTACACCAGCAAAGAGATTGCTGAAAAAGAAATAAGGAAATCAATACCATTTGTAATAGCTACCAAAAAAATAAAATACTTGGGAATAAATCTTACCAGGGACACAAAAGACCTGTACAAAGAAAACTATGAAAGACTACTTCAAGAAACCATAAGAGATCTATATAAATAAACCTAAAAAATTTTAAAAAATTAAAAAGAGATCTATATAAATGGAAGAATATGCCATTCTCGTGAATAGGAAGATTGAACTTTGTGAAAATGTCAGTACTACCCAAAGCAATCTATACATTCAGTGCAATCCCAATCCAGATCTCATCAACATTCTTTAAAGATAGGGAAAAACCAATCACTAACTTTACATGGAAAGGAAAGAGATCTTAAATAAGCAAAGCATTATTGAAGGAGAAGAACAAAGTCAGAGGTCTCACACTCCCGGATCTCAAAACCTATTGTACAGCCACAATAGTCAAAACTGCCTGGTATTGGTATAATGACAGACACATAGATCAATAGAATAGAATTGAAAATCCAGAAATAGATCCATTGACCTATGCTCAGCTGACCTTTGACAAAGGAACAAAATCCACTAAATGGGGAAGAGATTGTCTGTTTAACAAATGGTGCTGGCAAAACTGGATAGCCATTTGCGGAAAAATGAAACAAGATCTGTACCTCACACCATACACAAAAACTAACTAACTCCAGATCAAAGACTTAAATGTGAAACCTAAAACTATAAAATTCCTCAAGGAAAAACTGGGGGCAAATTTAGGGGTCCTAATAAATGGCATAAATAGACTGTCAAGCATAACCCAAAATACACAAGCAGCAGAAGAGAAACTAGATGAATGGGACCTTCCAAAAATTAAATTTTTATGTGTTTCCAAAGACTTCTCCAAAAGAGTCAAAAGAGAACCTATGGATTGGGAAAGAATATTCGGCAATGACATACTTGACAAGGGACTTATTTCTAGAATTTATAGAAAACTCCAACACCTTGACAACAAAAAGACAAATAATCCAATTTAAAAATGGGCAGAAGATATGAATAAACACTTTACCAAAGAGTATATTCAGGTGGTCAACAAACACATGAAGAGATGTTTACGCTCATTAGCCATTAGAGAGATGCAAGTCAAAACAAAAATGAGATACCATCTTACCCCAACACTAATAGCAAAGATCAACAAGACAGAAAATAACAAATGCTGGTGAGGATGTGAAGAGATTGGGACTCTCATACACTGCTAGAAATTTGGATTCAGGTCTGACTCATAGCGACCTCTCCTTGGGTTTCCGAGGCAATATCACTACAGAAGTAGATTGCCCAACCTTCCTTCCGGGGAGTGGCTGGTGGGTTTGAACCACCAGCCATCTGGTTAGTCATATGATGCCTTAAGCACTATGTCACCAGAGCTCCCATACACTGCTGGTGGGACTGGAAAATGATACAACCACTGTGCAAAGCAGTATGGCAATTCCTTAAAAAGGTGGAATTAGAAATACCATTTAACCCAGCCATTCCTTTACTAGGTATATATCCTAAAGAAGGGAGAGCCATGACAAGAACAGACATATGCACACCCATGTTCATCGCAGCTCTAGTTACAATAGCAAAAAAATGGAAACAACCTAGGTACCCATCAGCAGAAGAATGGATAACTAAACTGTGGTACTTACACACAGTGGAATACTATGCAACCCTAAAGAATAACATAGAATCTGAAAAACACTGCATAACATGGATGAACTTGGAAGACATTATGCTAAGTGAAACAGTCAGTCACAGAAGGACAAATATTGTATTAGTCTGTTATTGTAAAAAGTCAAGAAAAGGTTTATATATGGAAGTAAATTTTCTTTGTTGGTTACCAGGGGTAGGAGTGGAAGAGAGGGAACACTGTTAGATAGGTAGAGAAAATATTGATTTGGGTGAAGAGAAGGGCAATGTGCTAGATGTGAGTGATCAACACGGTGCCATTGAGGAAGAGGAAGACATAGAGTGGTACTTGGGAGGTACAGACAACAAAGGTGAACCCTTTTGCATATACACTACTGCATTGTCAGTGAAGACAAACATTGATACACAGGTGGATAGATGGGTGGATAGGCTGAACTATGAAATAAGTCTCTGCAGGGGCGAGTGTGCCCAAGACCATGTTTAGAGCTGGCAGACAATGGTCCTATAAGTGTATTTGTATGATCTGAATTCCCAGGTGTATAGTAGAGCTGACAAGGGACATGGTTATAGTCACTTCTTGGTCACAGCCAGCTACCAAGAGGGACCAAGTAGTTGAACCTGTGGGCTTGGGATCATAGTCACAGGGGACATCAAACTCAATTAGCATAACATACTACACAAAACATTGTTCAACCTTCTACTTTGGCGAGTAACGACTGGGATCTTAAAAGCTTGCAAGCAGCCATCTAGATGCAACAATGAGTCTCTCCTCGTCCAGAGCAGAGAAGAATGAAGAAAACCAAAGATTCATGGAAAGAATTAGTCCTAGCAACTGGTAACACCATGCGATCTGCAGCCTATATGACTATGAGAACAGATGGTGCCCAGCTACCACTGTCAACCACTCAGAGTGGGATCTATGTAGGAGATCCTGGGTAGAGAGGGAGAACAATGTGGAACAAAACTCAATATCATTTGGAAAAAAAAAAGGGCCCAGGATTGGTTTGCTTGTCTGATAGAGCCTGGTGGAACCACTGAGACTATGGCCCCTAGCTGCCCTTCAGGTATGGAATTGAATCCACACCTGTGGCTTCCAGACAAACAAAAGACAGGTATATGAGGTGAACATTTACCTGAGGTAGATACACTCCTTGGAGAGAACAATCATGGGAGAAAGAAGGGCTGTTTATGCACAGGGAGATAGCTCAGGGCGCAGGAGTGCATGGAGGGATGGATGCAGGGAAGAGGTAACTATCGGGAGGAAGTGGGAGGGGAGCTGTTGCATTGAGTTAAATTGTAGTCAATGTCATGAGACAAAGTGTATGTGAACTGCTGTATGGAAAGTGAATTTGCTCTGTAAACATTCACCCAAATGACAATTAAAAAAAAAAAAATTAACTCTAGCTCACTTAAGTTTTTAAATAAATAAAGGAATGCTGGGATATCTATTAGAATCTAGGGAAGAGATTTAACAATTCAGCCTCCTGAAGAGCAGGTTCCAGAACAACTCCAGGGGTCTCAAAGGCAGGAGCTGCTCTGCCGTCACCATGACACAAACCTCTAGTGGCTCACAGATTCTGCATCTGTTTGTCTAAAATACCAAATTCCAGGAAAGAGACTCTGATTCTCCACCCCTACATCAATCAGATGTGGCTGAGTGCCGCACCTACAGTGAAGGCATGACTTTTGGGCACCCCTCTGTGTACTGGAGGCAGTTCCCAGAGAAGGGGGGTTGCTGTGATCTAGGCAGTCATGTAAGTGGTGCCTACTGGAAAAGTACTTTACAAATAAAAATTATATAATCTCTCACTTCTAATTTCCCCATAGTAGCTAGCACAATTGTGAATAAATAATAAACCTTTAAAGTCTAACTGGTTAAAAAAAAAGAAAACCAATGATTAATTTGGCAGAACTGGTTAAGTGGATTGAAGTCAGAGGGATTACAGGCGTGGGGATTTAGCTATGAAGCATGCCTTCCATGTGTGAGGTGTATGGCTACAGGAATGGAGAACCATAGAAAGTGCAGAGGACTCGCTGTCACTGTAATTATGAATAAAGGAGAGAAAAAGTCACAAGTCATCTTTTCTCCTGAGTTCTGAAGAGGACACCTTTTTTTAAATTGTGATTTGGGTGAAAGTTTACAGAGCAAGTTCGTTTTCCATTGAACAGGTCATATACATATTTTGTTTCATGACATTGATTACAATCCCCATAATGTAACAGCTCTCTTCCCACTTCCTCCCTGTAGTTACCTTTTCCCTGTGTCTTGCTTTCCTATGCACTCCTGCTCTCTGAGCTACCTTCAGAAAAGGTGAAAAGGTGGCCCTTCTGATCTCCCTGGGTTGATTATTATAAGGAGTGTACCTACCTTGTATGCCTGTCTATTGTTTGGCTGGAAACCACAAGGAGTGAGTTCAATTCTAAGCCTGAAGGGTGACTCAGGACCATAGTCTTGGGGGTTCACCAGTCTTTACCAGACCAGTAAGCCTGGTCTTTTTATTTATGATTTTGAGTTTTATTCCACATTTTTCTCCCACTTTATGCAGGGTCTTCTATTTTGATTCCTTTCTGAGTGGTTGACAGTGGCAGCTCGGCACCATTTAGTTCTTCTGGTGTTAGGATCATGAAAGCTGAGGTCCCCATGGTCCACTAGTCCCTTGGACTAATTGTTTCCATGAATCTTTGATTTTCTTCATTCTTCTTTGTTCCAGATGAGGAGAGACCAATTGTTTTGTCTTAGTTTGCTCACAAACTTTTAAGAGCCTAGTCGCTATTCACCAAAGTAGGATGTAGAGCAATATTTTTGTGTAGCATACAATGCCAGTTGAGCTTGCTGTCCCCAGTGATCATGGTTCTGAGTGGGGAGGGTACCACTGACAATGGTTGAAGGCTGGGAAGTATGCCCTTTGAAGGGGAAAGATAATGAACTTTGTAACACCGAAATGCTGGTATTGGCTGTGATTTCAGTGGCAGTGCCCTTGAGATAACTAGATTTGGGTGAGTAGAACTCTTAGAGAGCTATCAAGGATGAAGACAGTCTTAAGCTTCATTCCTTTCAGACTATAACACTGTAAAAATAAATAAGCTCTTTGAGGAAATAAGTAAAGGAAGAAGAACAGCAGAACACAAGCAAGATCTCGGAGTCACACCAAAGTTGGAAAGAAAGCAGAGAAAGAGAAAACTCAGAAAGGCAAGCTGGGCACTAGCCTGAATTTCTAAGTGAGGTCATTTTGGTAGCAGGTAAGAGAAATTCACGAGATGCACCTGAAACACAAGAGAGGCTATCAGGTCTGAAGGTAACTGGTTGTTCCCCAGAACCCTAAGACAGGAAGAACAGCTTGCCACAGGAAGGCAATCAAACTAGAAAATAAAGTGCTTTCACATACTCAGGGAGAACTTTTCTCTTTTACTCCTTTCAATACATTTTCATTTCTCTCTCTCTATTCCCCACCCCTCTACAAATTGCCTCTGTTATCTTGCCCGTAAGGTCCAGTGCTCTCAAATTTTAAATTTTCTGTATCCTGTGGACCAGCCAGGCTGAAATTGAAGCTCTTTTCCAATTTCACATTCCAGAAAGATAATTTAATTGGCCTTCATGTCTATTCCTAGACATATCAGCTGCGGTCAGTAAGGCAGAATGACGTAAGCAGAAACATGGCTGGGAGTTGCCTATTTTTATGGGCCCTGGCAGCTCCCAGAGTAGAGGGGCTAGGGAGGGAATCTAATCTAGAAAGCTCCACTACAGCCCTTAACATTTGCTCCTCACATCACCTCCCTGAGATATGTCTTATTTCCCCCCGTTTCACAGATGAGGAAGCTCAGGCACAAGGAATAATGTAATTAACTCTGGACCACACAGCTCAAACCCAGGGGCTTTCTTGCTCTAAAGCCCTTGTTTTTCCCTTTCTGTCACTCTTTACAGCAGAGCAAAGCAGTTTTCTCTCTGCTCATTTCTAATTTGGAGAGTTATTCTTTTTCCAGGACAAGTAACTCAGAATAATATTAAGCACTACAGTAGAGGTGACTGGTTTAGTAGAAAGAGAAGTTAGAATGCCTAAACTGGAATTATCCAAACTGGAAATAATAATTATTAGTAAAAATAATGGCAAACTAACAGTTATTGAAGGATGCTGGGTGTTATGAATACGCTCATTTAGTACTCACAACCATCCCATGAAGGTAAGAAGTTCTATTAATCTCATTTTATAGATAAGGAAACAGGTACCAAACCAAAACAGCCAAGCCTACTGCCCTCAAGTCAGTTCCAACTCATAGCAGTGCTGCAGGACAGAGTAGAACTGCCTCATAGAGTTTCCAAGGCTGTAAATCGTTATGCAGACTGCCACATCTTTATCTCATGGAGTGGCTGGTGGGTTTGAAATGCTGACCTTCTGGTTAGCAGCCAAGCACTTAACCACTGTGCCACCAATGCTCCTTTATCTCATTTTATAGATGAGAAAACTCAGGTACAGGGAGGATAAATAACGTGTCATCTCAAGCAACTATTAAGAGGCAGAGCCAGGTTTTGGCTCCAGAGGATAAAGTCTTAGCCCCTACCGCTGTCCTGCCTCCAGTCCTGTGGAGCTGAGGAGCAAGGCCCACTGAAGGACTTAAACTGCTGTTCTTGCAAGCCATCTACATCCTTCATCATCCGCCCTAGTCATTTGGCATGTTCTTGACTCTCTAAAGTTCTTCTCCTCTCATTGCAGGTGGTATTGCGAACAGAGCCCCCACATTCTCTTCTCAGCCCTGTGCGCCTGGAGGTCTTCATCACCATTGCTGACTTCAGGTGAAACCATATGCCCCTTACACATGCATCTTGGTTCCTCTTTCAGGGCCAATGCCAGAGTCAACCAACATATTCCATATTTTTACTTCTGAAAACCATTTAGATAGGGAAGAGGAAGCCATATCCATGTTTTGTATAACAACTCTGATTTCATGAATACTGCTATCCATATCTGAAAGATTTTATTGGAACCACTTTGAAGTTCAGTTTTGTCCAATATTTTATTCAGTAGAAAATTAGTCCCGTATGTGCTTCATGACAGTAGAATTTCACAATCAAAGAAATTTGGAAAGGGCTGCCTGCTATTTACCTCTCGGAAATCCATACTGCACGTTAACTGATTAAAGATCCTGAGAAGTCCTGTAGTTAAAAATTTCAGACTTGGTTGAATGCACCATTGTCTAAATTAACTAACATTCAGCAAAACACACTTTGGAAAATTGTGGTTTACTATATTAGGCTGTGGGAGCTCTGGTAGCATAGTGCCTAAGGTACTTGACTATTAACCAGAAGGCTGGTGGTTCAAACCCACCAGCCACACCTCGGAGGGAAGATGGGGCAATCTACTTTCGTAGTGATACTGCCTCGGAAAGCCAAGAAGGGGTCACTATGAGTCAGGTCCAACTGATGGCACGTAACAACAACATATTAGGCTGTAGCAGTCTTCCCTCTGCAGTTGAACTGGAGGAAAGCCTGGAAGGCTATCACTCCAGTGACCTCTTGTGGTAGGAATGGGGTGGGGATGAAGGTTCTGAGCCCACAACACTTCCTCTAATCTTTTGTGTAATTTATCCAGACTGAAAAACCCAGCCATTTATCTCTCCCATCAGAATAATACAACGACTAGCCTACTCTTCCCTTTTTGGTTACGTTGATCTATTCTTATCACTGTCAAATCAGATTCTCCTTCCAGCTTGCTGTTCCCAAACTCTCTTTTTTTCAGTTCTCAAGGTATCCATTTGGTGTTTGGCTCTGAAGATCGAGCTGAATTGTTCAGTCTTATCATCAAAACTATGATTCCTCTTCCTCCCGTGGAGACCCTTGCCCAGCTGCAGGAAATCATGCCACGTGGGTCAGACAACTTAAAGGTAACTCAGGCTTTGCTTAGTATCTTGCCGTCCACATGGTCAGCTGATGTTGGCTTTTTGAGGGTACATTTGATTTTTTGGAACTAGCCAAAAGCCATTTCAGCCAAGTATGGTGAATAAAATAAATAGTAGTATCGTTTTTTCCTTTTATTTTTTTCTTCATTCCTTCTTTTCTTCCTTATGGGTTTAAAATAAGGTAGGGCCATTCATGGTTTAACAGATGTTTATTGTTGTTGTTGTTATTTGCCGTCAAGTCGGCCCCGACTCATAGCGACCCCTCCTTGGTTTCTGAGGCAGTATCATTACGGAAGTAGGATTGCCCAACCTTCCTTCCGAGGAGTGGCTGGTGGGTTTGAACCGCCAGCCTTCTGGTTAGCAGTCAAGTGCCTTAGACACTATGCTACCAGAGCTCCTAACAGATGTTTATTAAGGATCACCATATGCTAAGCATTATGATCAGCAATAGCAATACAGCAGGAAGAAAAAAACAAAAAAAACTTAGGCTCTTGTTTGTGGAGCTTGCATTCTGTTGCAAAGAAACAAGCCACTAATAAGTAAATCTATGTCAGGTAATAATAAGTGCTATGAAAAAATAAAGCCGGAAGAAAAAAAAAAAAAAAGCTGGGAAGGAGGAAGATACAGAATACGTGTTTGGAAGGCACAGGGACCTTTTTTTGAATGGGGTGGTAAGAGAAAGTCTTCCCAGTGAGGTGCTTGTTGAAGGAAGGAGAAAGTGTGGATGGATACTGGAGCAGAGGCTTTCAGGAAGAGGGAAGAATAAGTACAAAGGCCCTGATTTTCTTTTGTGGCTAATAAGCTGGATTATAGAGCAATTGTAAAAGGGGGCTTTGTTCCCCTTTGTTTCTAGATGTCAAAGAGTCACAAGTGAAACTTCAAAAGTATCTTGATAATTCATCCATTGTAGTTAGGATAGTTAACTGCATCCCCAGTAATGCTCGGGTGTCCCATTTGAAATGAAAATTCATTCTATTTTACTTCATGCTACACATTGTCTGTCGGTACTTTTAAAAGGCTACAGTGCTTGGGGATCTCCAGGTGAGGGTGCATCACTGATCTTGTGCCTTTTCAGTGTCTCTACAGGCAGACGTTTCAGGCATTCTATGAGATGCTCCAGAGTTTGGTGGTAAGAGACCCACACTTGGAAAATCTTGACACCATTTTTGAGGTATGCAAGACGTAGGGGAGGATGAGAAACTATCCTTATTAACTAGTGAAAGTGGAAGAAGAAACTGTGGAAGGATTACAGTGTAGGAGAAGCATAACAGTTAAAGATATCAGCTATCAGCTTTGAGTCAGAGACTTGGGTTCCGATTCTGACTCTGCCATTCACTGGCTATAAAGCCTGCTACAGGAAACTCTGCAGGGAATTTAATCTCTCAGGGTCCAGTTTCCTTACCTTTAAATGGAGATTGTATTTCACAGGCTTACTCTAAGTATTGAAATAATGGCCTTCAATCAATAGTTGTTACAATTTTTCTTTAATTATTATTTCTTACAAGCATAGAAGGGTTTCACTCAGTGCAGGGAACAGAGTCAGGGTCATGAATGAGTAAAAGGGCAGCTGCCCACCAGGTGGGATTCAAGGTCATAAATGACCACCTGACCCCAGTATGTCACTTGTACCTGCTTCAGGATGTGCCATTCCTTGGAGTATATTCAGTGCAGTTCAGGCACCTTGGCCTCTTGTCTTTTTCTAAGATACAAATATGCCAGAAAGGGATAACCCTTTCAATATTATTAATCATTTGCATTTAAGTGCAGATGGGCATTTAACCTTGACATAACTCACCTAAACTTTCTCATTCCTCCCTATTTGTGTGTTAATACACAAGCAAGATTGGATTTCTCTACTTTCTTCCCTTGTGCTTTGTAGTTTCCCGCAATGGCAGCTTATTCAAGTCATTTCTTCTACTGAAGTGCCACCTTCTTTATGAAGCTCCTACCCATGGATATCACCTAGTCCATGAGTCCTTTCCTGATTGATCCAAGTACATGCAATTCCTCAATCCTCAAAGTTCCTTTAATAGCACTTTATTAATTTTAGTTCTTTCTAAAGCAGATTTGAAGGAGCTCTGGTAGCATAGTGCCTAAGGCACTTGACTGCTAACTAGAAGGCTGGCGGTTCAAACCCACCAGCCATTCCTCGGAAGGAAGGTGGGGCAATCCTACTTCCATAGTGATACTGCCTCAGAAACCCAAGGAGGGGTTGCTATGAGTCGGGGCCGATTCGATGGCAAATAACAACAACAACAACAACAAAGCAGATTTGAGAGGGCTAAAACCATATGGAAGCTTGTTGTTGTTATTGTTATGTGCTGTCGAGTCGGCCCCGACTCATAGCAACCCCTCCTTGGGTTTCTGAGGCAGTATCACTATGGAAGTAGGATTGCCCAACCTTCCTTCCAGGGAGTGGCTGGTGGATGTGAACCACCAGCCTTCTGGTTAGCAGTCAAGTGCCTTAGGCACTATGCTACCAGAGCTCCTATGGAAGCATAGCATAAGTAATTAAAAGAAAATGAGATGAAAGAAAAATTGAAAAAAGCCCCCTAGAAGCCCAACTATACATGTGGACTTCACCAGACGGATTATACAGGAATCATATTAACTACATCTGTGGCAAGAGGTGATGGAGAAGTTCAATATTTTGGGCCAAAACAAGGCCAGGAGCTGATTGTGGAACAGACCATCAACTGCTCATATGCACGTTCAAGTTGAAGTTGAAGGCAATAAAACAAGTCCACAAGAGCCAAAATATGACCTTGATAATATCCCTCTTGAACTTAGAGACCATTTAAAGAATAGATTTGATGCACTGAACACCAATGACTGAAACCAGAAGAATTGTGGGATGACATCAAGAGCATCATCCATGAAGAGACCAAGAGGTCATTAAAAAGACAAGAAAGGAAGAACAGACCAAAATGGATGTCAGAAGAGACTCTGAAACTTGCCTTTGAGTGCAGAGTAGCTAAAGCAAATGGAAGAAATGACAAGATAAAAGAGCTAAACAGAAGATTTCAAGGAGCAGCTCAAGCACACAAAGCCAATTACTATAACGAAATGTGCAAAGACCTGGAGTTAGAAAACCAAAAGGGAAGAATACACCTGGCATTTCTCAAGTTGAATGAACTGAAAAAGACTTTAAGCCTCAAGTTGCAATGTTGAAAGATTTTATGGGCAAAATATTGAATGATGCAGGAAGCATCAAAAGAAGATGGAAGGATTACACAAAGTCACTGTACCTAACAGAATTGGTTGATGTTCATCCATTTCAGGAGGTGGCATATGATCAAGAACCAATGGTATTGAAGGAAGAAGTCAAAGTGGCACTAAAGGAATTGGTGAAAAACAAGGCTCCAGGAACTGATGGAATACCCATTGAGATGTTTTGACAAACGGATACCCCACTGGAGGCATTCACTTGGCTATGCCAAGAGATTTGGAAGACAGCTACCTGGCCAACTGACTGGAGGAGATCCATATTTGTAACCATTCCAAAGAAAAGTGGTCCCAGAGAATGTGGAAATTATCAAACAATATCATTAATATCACATATAAGTAAGTAAAATCTTACTGAAGATAATTCAAAAATGGTTGTAGCAGTATATTGACAGAGAGCTTCCAGAAATGCAAGCTGGATTCAGAAGAGGAAGTGGAACCAGGGATATCATCGCTGATATCAGATGGTGTTCTGGTTACCTAGTGCTGCTCTAACAAGAAATATATACCACAAATGGCCTTAACAAACAGGAGTTTATTCTTACAATTTGGAGGCTTTAAATCCAAGTTCAAAGTGCCAGGCCTAGCGGCTGGGTGAAAGCCCCTCAACCTTGGGGTCTAGCTCTGCCTCCTGCTCCCGGCCCACTGGAGCTAGAGGCATTTCTTTATTCAAACAGCTGCTGGCTGCTGAGGCTGAGAAACCCCAAGGCTGACAAGTAAAAAGGCTCAGTCCCGATGTTACCAAATAACACTGCAGGCCATTACTTCAAGTCCATTATAAGTCCCAAGGTCAACAGAGCATGGCAGGCTGTTCAAAGACAT